TCATTTACCCAGAATGCTTTGTGTGGAAATAAAATGGCTCCGTCCGTGTTAAAAATTAAAAAAATTTACAAAACTAAACATCCTACAGTATTATTACCGTCTTTATTTTACAGTTAAAATAAATGTTTATCAAATAAAATCTTATGTTACAACTAACCATGGATCCCTTTAAATAAAACAAATAGATGTATTTCTCTTGTGTACATCACATGAGGTGATTTAGGCTTAAAAATAAAACATATGATCACAAAACAGCACGTTTTTATTGAGCTTTTCTGATGGTTAGAAAGAAAAACGGAGGTTTTCATGAGTTCTGCTGGTTTCTATGAAGAGCCAGTAAATAAAAGAAGTGTTTTTATTAGTGTTTAGAGTAATTTACTGCTTCAAGTGTCAGTTTGTGTCGTTATGTTGGTCCAAATGGAGGCATGAATGTCATCTAAAAGAAAAAGCTTCAAACAGGCGTTTTGTCAGTTTACAGTTCTGAAGTGTGTYCTGTAAGTGTGCATTCACACCAGATGTTTAGTTCGCTCTAAGAACTCTAGAGCCCCATCTCCACCGACGACCAGAGACCGCTCTGAAAGCAGGAAGTGGACTATAACGCAGGGCATTCTGGGTAATAACCGCAATGAAGTTACTCATATCTTGTTGAAGACTGTTTGACACATTTAGCCAAAAACAGAAAATAAATCCTACAACCACTAAAATCTGATGTCACTCCATGTTGACATTTTGTGAAGAAGGAAGTTGGGTTTCATGACTTCTTCTGAGGTTTTCATGTTGATTCTTTCAGTGCTTCTTGCTGCAGCGCCCCCACAGGTGAGGGTGGAAACAGGTTGATCACAGGCTTTAGTTTGAAACAGAGCTGTGTGAATGTGAACAACACCAACTGAAAATGTAAACAAATGTTTTGGTTCTGAATCGAACCGAGTCTACCAGACCTTCAGGTGTGAATACGTCCTTAAAAGCTTGAACTTCTTTTCTTTTGTTAAATTACAATAAAAGTATTTTATTTACATGAGAACGACACAAAGCAACACAAAGGTCTGAAGTGGAAAACAAATGTTTGGTTTAATAAATGATACAAATAAAAAGACAAATTGAACAGAACTCCACATTTTACAGATTTTTATTTGTACTAACTTGGAACATTGTGAATCATTTTCCTTCCACGTCACAGTTAGGACAAAAATATTTTTTAATTTTTGTTAGTTTGGATCAGACCGAACAAACTCATGAAAATCTCCTGAAATCAAAACATCTTCAGAGATAAAACCTGGTTAGACTTGCACTGCTCCTTCCTAAAACAGATTTTTTTTTTAAAATCATGATTATTGTTGAATAAAATAAAGATTAAAACTAAATATATTTAAAAATAAATATATTTCTAACATTTAAATCATCAGTTACTGTAAATACTTGAAGACTTTATTAGATTTGAGAGGTTTATTATGAGGAAAACAGAGGTTTCGAGACAGATAAATCTGTTTTTATTTAAAGTTGCTCTTGCTTTTTTAAAATTATTTAATATTTTAAATATATGGGTTTTTTTTTGCATGTTTTTCTTCAGTTTGTGTTTTAATCCAAAACAAAGAGATTAAAATTTTCGAGGATGTGGAATGTTGGCCAAATGTACCTTGAGTTCAAGAAAAAATCCTTCTTAAACTTGAGGTGCTGTCATGAATTCGGTTTTTCAAGTCACGTCACAGCCA